TAAATTGATATCAAATATATAAATGGCTATTTGGCCAAATTTGGAATGTGTGTTCCTTGCAGGGATAAATTTATTTTCTTCATGATATCCCTAGGCTAAAAACAGAGCCTGACACATAGTATATCTTCAATAAAGGGTTGTTAAATAAGTTTGAAAAATCCAAAATGCATTTAGTCATTGATAGAGTAATTCTACTACCAGGAATTTATCAAATGGGTATATGTACAGGATTTTTTATTTTTGTAACATTGGATTTTGTTTCATTCTGTTTTTAAAAGATTTTATTTATTTATAAGAATGAGAAAGAGAGAGCACAGCTGCAGGGAGGAGGGGGAGGTGGGGAACAAGCAGACTCCCTGCTGAGCAGGGAGCTGGATGAAGGGCTCCATCCCAGGACCCTGGGATCCCCACCCAAGCTGAAGGCAGATGCTTAAGCAACTGAGCCACCCAGGTGCCCCTTCTTGCAGCATTGTTTGCTGAAGGCAAATGCTATTACCAGACTAAATGTCCATCTATAGAGGAAACATTAAATAACTTTTTGTACAATCCTACAATAGAATATTATGTAGCTATTAAAGAAGAATGAGGTAGATCTAAGTGAATTGATATGGAACAGTGTCAATAATATTACTGCTAAATAAAAAAAAAGCAAATTCTAGAACATATATGCATAACATGAGAATATATAACATACAATCAATTTGTTTCCTGACCTGTGTTGGAAGGATTCCTGTTGTCTGGGGAGTCTCTCCTTGGATGATAGGTTGAGGAAGGAAAGAAAGAACACTTTCACCTGAGAATCCACTTACTCACTTATATTTTCTACTGTAATAAGAAGCAAGTACAAGTTTTATGCTCTTTTAAATTTTTTTAAAATTTTGTTTTTAAGTTTGTTTATCTCTACACTCAACGTGGGGTTCAAACTCACAACCTTGAGATCAAGAGTCACATGTTTCACCAACTGAATCAGCCAAGAGCCCCAAATTTATTTATCTTTTTGTTTATTTATGTATTGTTTAAGTATAATTTTTTTTAAGATTTATCTATTTATTTGAGAGGGGGAAGAGAGAGAATGAGAGAGAGAGGGCACAAGTAGGGCAAGGGGCAGAAGGAGAAGGAGAGAGAGAATCTCAAGCAGAATCCCTGCCAAGCTCAGAGCCCAATGTGGGGCTCCATCTCATGACCCCAAGATCACCACCCAAGCCAAAATCAAGAGTTGGATTTGTGCAACCATTTGTGCAACCAACTGAGCACACAGGCACCCTCATTTATTTTAAAAAAATAAAAATGTATGGACGTTTTTATGTAAAAATATAAAAAGGGTATATAGATTGATTTATTTGAAAATACCATAATTATTCAGGGGAAATGATACATTTCATTAAAAATCTAAATAAAGAAGCAAATATGAAAGAGTAAAAATCTTATACAATGATAAAACTAATATTAGTTTGGTAAACATTTTTCCAGATATTTCTTTATGCATGTGTACAATTTACAAAAATATTTATGCTGCTCTGTAGTCTGCTTTTTATCAAAAGATATTCAGTGGATTTTTTTCTAAATAAGTCAGTTTGTTTTTATAGGCCTTATAGTATGCCAATATATTTACAACTCACTTAGTAAACTAATTACTTATTTTTGAGCACTATAAATAAAGCTGCCTCATTTATCTTTAAAATAATGAATAGATACAAAGTCACTTTTAAAAAAATTTTTTAAAGATTTTATTTATTTTTTCATGAGAGAGAGAGAGGCAGAGACATAAGCAGAGGGAGAAGCAGGCTCCACACAGGGAGCCTGATGTGGGACTTGATCCAGGGACTCAATCCGGGAACTTCAGGATCACACCCTGAGCCTAAGGCAAATGCTCAACTGCTGAGCCACTCAAGGCATCCCACAAAGTCACATTTTAGATCGCTTTATAAAATGTAATAGTGATAACAACTCTATGAAGAGTAATGGATTCATTACCTACCCAGATTTTCTGTGGTTTGGATATCCAAAAAGCACCAGCTTGTGCACCCGGCCTGCATATGTGTGTTCATATTCATTGTAACTTTGATTATTATAGCAAAAAAAAAAAATTCCATCATTATAGGTAATCTATATCTTTATATTTTTTATAGAATATAACACAACAGTTAAAAAGAATAAAGTGAGGGTGCCTGAGTGGTTCAGTCAGTTAAGCATCTGCCTTCACCTCAGGTCCTGAGATTGAGTCCTGAATCCGGCTCCCTGCTCAGCGGGGTCTGCTTCTCCCTCTCCCTCTGCCTGCCGCTCCCCCAGCTCATGCTCTCTCTCTCTCTCTCTCTCTCTCTCTGTCAAATAAATAAATAAAATCTCGGAGGTAGGGGGGTGAGAATAGGGTAAGTTGATAGGTCCTGACTTGAAAAATCCTTACCCCTGACTACTAAGTGACAGAAAGCATTTACAGAATAATATTGTGGTTGTGTTACCAAGCTATTTTTTAAAATACAGGAAAGCGATTTAATAGAATCAACAAGTGTATTCCCATAGTTCATCATGTTGTACATTTAGAATTTGTGCCATTGACAGTATGCAAATTAAGCCTAAGTTTAAAAATAGGCTATATCTACCTCACATTGTGGGCAAAGTTTACTTAAAAAAAATAGGTTGTTTCTATATTTTCGTGTATATATATGTAAATACATAGGAACCGGTCTGGAACAATATACACCTGATTTTTTGGCAGTGGTTACCTTTAGAAAGGGAGACCTCTGCTCTTCCTTTACATACTTCTGTATTGCTTGACTATTTTAAAAAGGAGAAGGCATTAATTGGGTATCTATCAATCAATAAATATAAATACAACATGTTTTTGAGTCAGTGAAATAGGTAACATAAATAATCAACTTATAGACAAAATTAACAGACCACAAATGAACTTTGGAAGAAAACAATCTGCTGAGAACCTATGTAGGGATAGACCCATCTTCTCCCTTGGGAAGTATTTGAGGAGTATATTTTCTCCCTTTTTACCCCTCTAAAAAGATACCATTAAGTCACCAGTAAGGCAGCGTTTCCTACTACTCTAATCCCTGCCGGGCTTGATGGCTGCCTGTGGAGGTGAGATATGAACACCACAGCCACCCTGCAAGTTGCCGGACCCCATCCCAGGAAGTGAGAGCCTAAAGGAGACTCAGTACTTGCTTAAAGAACATGCTTCACTCCTTCTCAATTTGTGGCAAGGGGAATGATGCAGCCGATGGAAATGAATATGCAGTACTGGCATATGTGGTATGAATTAAAAAGCAGCTGAATAATAAGAAATTCAAATTAAAACAATTAACTGCCATGTCCTACCAAACTAGGGAGGGTTTCTTTAATGGCTCTGCACAATATTGGCATGGGGTGAATGATGAGAGGTGAAGCTAGACAAATTAACAGAGACTGAAGGAGGCAGAGCTTTGTCAAATACATAAGGGGGTTTATCCCAGGAACCAGGGCAAGCCCGTATCAAACCTTAGGAAGCTGGATCACCTCTGGCTACTCCAAGGAGAATGCATTGAGAAGCAACCAGCCCAGACATGGGGAGAGCAGCTAGGTGGCCAGTGTAGTAATCCAGGCAAAATATTTTTGCACCCTAAAACAGTGAAAGCACTGGAAATGGAATCAAGTAGATGAGCTGAGGGATATTAAAGAGAGATGTCTAACAGATCTCGTACATCCAGAAAAGGAGAACAGGTGGTGGTAGTGAGGCATCTATATCATCTAGAGTTCAAACAGTAGACCCTGAACCCTCGGACATGGAACATCCTTATTGTTGTTGAAATTAGGCCTTGCAACTCTGTGTGGAAGCAACTGAACATCTGGGTAAGGGAGTTAAATCTCCCACCAGTCAGTCTGAAAAGCCAAGGATGTCCAGCTATGGAAGTAGGAACTCAGAGACTGATGAAGTCTAGAAGAAGCATTTGCCTTTATGGGTGTAAGGGCAGGCATCTGTTGATGGGTCTGGGGCTGCTATTGGTCAACAGAGCCTACAGTCCAGAGGAAGAGCTGGAGACAAAATAAAACAATGACAGGCTGGAACCTGCCAGGCACCTCTGCATCTACAGGTCATGCCGAACCATGAAGGCATTCAGATATGGTACCACAAAATTCCTTTCTTGGCCAAGTCTAACCTGGAACCACACAAGGAAAGGGATTCTGCAAAACAATTTCCATTAACCAAGTTAATGGTGGGAGATTCTGGAGGAAATGTAGTGGGTTCCATTTTGGTCATGTTAACTTTGAGTTGACTGTAATACATCCCCGTGGAAATGTTCAGTAAGCAGTTGTCCTGTGCAAATAAATTGCTCTGGAACTCTAGTTCTAATCCATCCTGGGGTGGGAGGGAGGAATGCAACTTTGGATTACAAACCTAGGAACTAAAAGTATTGGCAGGAGTCAAACCAGTCTCAAGAGACAAAAAGACAGTTCAACCAGGATCTATAACTCAGGCAGTAACCCGGGGCAGTGAGATGGAATGGACAGACCCTACGGGGCAGGTGGGAGAAAGCATCCTGGAGAGATGGCCTGAGATACTTTACCTCTGAGTGTATGGTCTGTATATGAAGGCTAGCCTTCTGGAATCAGTATTTTGAAAGTACCATGATTTATAAGAAAAAAAAACTTACTTGATAGTCACTCCTCTTATTTTGTAATCCTATTATGCAGGCACAAGACAGTATATTTAACGAATGATTCTTCTTTCAGAAATTTCAAGCACAATTTGTTACCACAGTTTGTGCCTTTACTGTTTCATAGTCCTTCAGAATCCTAGAGAGAGTTCTGACTGAGGTTCCAGGTGATGTAGTAAACATTCCACACAAAGGGGGTCTACCATTACATCAGTGGGACCACCACCACTGCCGCCACCACTACCACCACCATCGTAACCACCTCCATTACATCCATCACCATCACTATCCAAGGTTGGAGGAACAGAGGCTGGGGAAAGGTGGTAAAGAGAGGAAAAAGGAAGGTAAAGATTCCAAATGAGCACAGAAATTAATAGTGCTTTCAGGTAAATTTTCCTTATTTCTATTGCATGACAAAGAACATTTTTTTTAAAATTCCAGTGTAATTAACATACAGTGTTACATTTGTTTCAGGTGTACAATATAGTGATTCAACAAATCTTTTTTTTTTTTTTTGGTAAAGACTTATGTATTTGAGAGAGAAAGAGAAGGTGAATGGGGGGAGGGGCAGAAGGAGGGGGGGAGGGAGAGGGAGAGAGAATCTCCAGCAGACAATGCAATGAGCACAGAGCCTGAAACAGGGCTTGATCTCATGACCCTGAGATGGTGACCTAAGCTGAAATCAAGAGTCATATGCTTAACCGACTGCACCCAGGTGCCCCAGTGATTGAACAATTCTATACATTACTCAGAGCTCATCATGATAAATGTGCTCTTAATCTGCTTCACCTGTTTCCCCCATCCTCCCACCCACCGCCCCTCTGGTAACCGTCAATTTGTTCTCTATAGTTAAGAGTCTGTTTTTTTGGTTTGTCTCTTTCTTTCCCCTTTGTTCATTTGCTTTGTATCTTAAATTCCACATTTAAGTGAAATGTCAGCTCTCTCTGACTTACTTCACTTACCATTATACTCTCCAGGTCCATCTATGTTGATACAAATAGCAAGATTTCATTCTTTTCTATGGCTGGATAATATTCCACTATGTGTATATATACCACCTCTTCTTTATCCACTCTTCTATCAGTGGACATTTGGACTGCTTTTATAATTTGGCTATTGTAATGCTGTAATACACATAGATGTGCACGGATCCCTTTGAATTACTCTGTGTTTTTTTAATTCTTTGAGTGAATACTCAATAGTGTGATTACTAGATCATAGAGTAGGTCTATTTTTAATTTTTTTTAAAAGATTTTATTTATTTATTCATGAGAGACCCAGAGAGAGAGAGACAGAGAGAGAGAGAGAGAGAGAGAGAGAGGCAGAGACACAAGCAGAGGGAGAAGCAGGCTCCATGCAAGGAGCCCAACGCAGGACTCATGCCCTGGTCCAGGATCATGCCCCGGGACAAAGGCAGGTGCTAAACTGCTGAGCCACCCAGGGATCCCCATATTTTTAATTTTTGAGGAATCTCCATACTGTTTTCCACAGAGGCTATACCAGTTCACATTCCCACCAACAGTGCACGAGTGTTCCTATTTCTTCACATCCTTGCCAACGCTTGTTTCTTGTGTTTTTGATTTTTAGCCATTCTGACAGGTGTGAGGTGATATCTATCTCATTGTGGTTTTGATTTGCATTTCCCTGATGAGCATTTTTTCATGTGTCTGTTGCCATCTGTAAGTCAATGAACAATTTTATCTGCAGTATTCTTTTTCCTCCACTTTCTTAGTTATCAGATGAAATCTTGGCTTCCTGTTAGACTATGTACATGGGGAAATGATATATTCTTCTGACTACTCTGTACAAAGGAGGGCTTCCATCCTTCTCTATACTCTTATTCTTTTTTTTAAAGATTTTATTTATTTATTTATTTGACAGAGTGTATGCACACAAGCATCAGGAGCAGCAGGAGGAGAGAGAGGGAGAAGCAGGCTCCCTGCTGAGAAGGGAGCCTGATGCAGGGCTTGATCCCAGGACCCCAGGATCATGACCTGAGCTGAAGGTAGACACTTAACTGACTGAGCCACCCAGGTGCCCATCTATACTCTTATTCCATTATATTTTTCATTTTAGTACTTACTCCATCTGGTATTATATGTTTACATGTTTCTTTTATTTATTGCCTTCATTTCAGAATATAAGCTTCATCACAGACCATGCCTGTTTTGGTCACTGCTGTATTCCCAGCAAATTAAACAGTACCTAGCATATTACAGAGACTCAAGTATTTGTTGAATGAATGAATAACACATTACATTCTAAGAATGGCTCCCTGTGAGAGAGAACGGTATTATGGCTGTTCTCTATATAGAGAAAAATAAACTTCTGGTATAAAGGATCGACTGTAAGTTGAATCACAGTAGCAGGGTGCCTTAAATATTGTCCCAACAGTTCATCAAGCCTCAGGAAAACTGCAACCTTTACATGAACATGATCAAATAATAGTAAATAAAAATATTTGTTATACATTTTGGCAAGAAGAGCTTAATAGCTTTGCCAGTACTCATTTCTCCCCCTACTTCTCTGCTTGCCCCTCCATTTCCTTTGCTGGTCTTCTTCTTCTTTCTTCCTGCTAACCAGTCATTCCCTTGGATTTGCCTGGGACCCTCTTTTTGATCTTTCAACTGTGAGTTTTTGAAGTCGGCTTCTCAGGTGTCATGATGCCACTCCTATCTAGATAAGGGGTTAAGTCCCTGTGTGGGCACTGTCCTGGGCCTCATCTGACCTGTTTAATTCTTTGTATGAGCATATGAGGCTCTGCAAACTCCTCCCCTCAAAGCCTCCAGCCTTCTCTGTGTGTGCTGCTTCAGCATTATGCACAGTAGTTAGCCTTTTGTAGATATTGAAGAAGTGAATGGATGCTGATTAAATTTGTTGATGAGACTGAAGTATTTATCAGTGAAATTGATATAATTTTGGTATTTCATTTTAAATATTCCAGTAAAAATAAATAGAATGTAATAAAAAAATAAAATGGCTGAAGACAAAGATGAAACAAGAATGGAAAAATGTTGATAATGGTTGAAGCTGATGATGGGCATATGAGGGCTCTTTATACTCTTCTATTTTTGTGTACTTTTAAGTTTTTCTGTTAAAAAAAAACACAAAAATTTGTTGTTGAGGCAAAGCCAAGAAGGCCTACCAATATGCTAATAGTTTTAGAGGCATTTATGAAGTGGAAATTTGTAAATAAAATTTTACAATAGGAATGGGTAGCTATATTCACTACAGTTATGCCCTTTAAGGAATTAAATACAAATGAGGAAAGCAGCAAACATGTCAAACTTTTCAGAGCTTTGCTTAATTTTTAATCGTATTGCCACGTGTAAACCATATACGAAGGTTGCTAAAGCCTTTTGCCAATCACATGGTACACCATCTTATTCATCATTTACCACAGAAAATTTTCCTCCCTAGAAATAGTATAGCATATACGATGAAAATCCTACTGGGAAGAATCTTAAAGATATTTGCCTATTTTTATAGCCATTGTATTACTTTATTTATGCATTCATTTTTAATTTACATGCGTTACTCATAATTGTGTTCCATTTTTTTAAGTCCTTATTTATTTATTTAAGTAATCTCTACATCCAGCATGGGGCTTGAACTCATTACTTCAATATCAAGAGTCCCATGCTGCTCCAACTTAGCTAGGCACTCCTAAATTGTGTCTGATTTTATATATCCACTTTATTATTTGTTATACTAACAATTGTAGGGAAGCAATGATATATACAATTTACCACAACATATTAATAAATACACATATCTCAATTCTGAAACACTGATTCAGATACTGCTATGGAAAAAAATCCTCTCCCAGCTCTTGGCTGGCATGGAATTCTTGATCTCAGGATTATAAATTCAAGTCCCATATTGGGTGTAAAGATTACCTAAAAAAAAACCTTTCCCATTGATTTGCTGATTTTTTTTCTTTAATTAGTTTTATATAGAATATATTTTCCCATAAGTGTTATAATTTCATGTCTACATGTGATATGTTTCCATTTGGTACAGTTCTCAGCATCCTTTTTGCTTAGGTTAAAAGGAGCAGGCACTTTTTAAGTGGCCCCTGTTGCCAATTGCTTCACCATTTATCTTCATTTGATGCTATAAATAATCCTACTTACTTACAGATAAGAAAGCAGATGCTCAGAGAAGCTTAATTTGTAAGTGAAGACAGACTTTTTTTTTGAAGACAGTTTTTTTTAATCCAAACTCTACATTGTTCATAGTATATTGTTTTGTGTCTCCATATTCAAACTTTCAGTATGAGGCCATGACTTAGTATTGAATAAAACTGGCAGATTCTAGGATGGTATGCAAATATGACTCATTTACATCTCAGAAAAGATGACATATATATTATGTATGTAAATATGTTTATGTAACCAATGTTAATATTATTAATATATTATTATATTACTGTAGGTAATATAATAGTCATCATATGGTTATAATATATTTATATTTAATGTATATAATTATAATATATTGACATATAATAAATATATTATTAATATATTCTAATATATCTTATATATACATATTTGGAAAGACAGATAACAGCCATTAGCTAAGGCTGGAATTTTGGAGTTGGGGTGGGGCTTTGGAAACAAGGAGAACACATTTTCTAGCTTGTATCTTTTTGTCTTGAACTTAAAAATGAAATGCATTACTTTTATGCTCAGAGATATCATTACTATTTTCTCATTAGTACTAAATAGACTCATTTCTTATTTTAACAAGTATCAGCATTCTGAATACCTGTTTTATGCTTGGAATGTTTAAGTCCCTATGGGCTTCAGGCATTCTTATTGTTGTAGGCCCATCTAACACATTAAATGTACTCACAACAAATACAACTTCTATGAGTTAAGTTGAAGTTAAATAGAACTTACACGAAGCTGAGTTGAAGTTAACATTGTCACATGTCATAAACATTTAAAGCTACTAAATTGATTTTTTAGGTTTTAAAGTAGTTTTTAAAGATTTTATTAGTTTATTTTAGAGAGAGCACATGAGCAGGGGAAGGGGCTGGGGGGGAGGAAGTGGGAGAGAATCTCAACCAGACTCTGCACTGAGTGCAGAGCCTCATGCAGGGCTCAATCCCACCAACCTGAGATCGTGACAGGAGCCAAAACCAAGAGTTGGATGCTTAACTCACTGAGCCACCCAGGTGCCCTATTCATTTTCCTGTGAACCTTTTAAGTAGAACAAAAAAGTACCTTCACCAAGATAAAATGGAGTACACAAATAATTATGCTCAAATTTTAAATCAAATACCTAGGTCTCAAGCATGTATTCAAGCATGTATGTACTTTCACATGCCTGGGATACAATCTTGTGCTGATTTCTTTGAGTATTTATTCTTAGATTTCTGGTTGACTTTGTAGAGTCTTTGCCTAATTTTATTCAGGGATACACAATTCAATCACCATTTTTTTTTAGTACTTCCTGTGTGTTTTTTTGGGGAATGACAGCATCAGAATATTCAATGGTAGGCCCACATTAAATTGTGAGGAACTAAAGCAAATTGCAAAGATAAAGACCTGCTTGAAAAGACTTTCAATGTATTGGGGCACATGGGAGACTCAGTCAGTTAGGCACCAGACTCTGTTTCAGCTCAAGTCAGGATCTCATGGTTCTTGAGATCAAGCCCTGAGTTGGGCTCTGCATTCAGTGGGGAGTCTGCTTGAAGATTCCCTCCTTCTGCCCCTCCCTCCAGATGTTCACTCTTTCTTTCTATAATAAGTAAATACATCTATTAAAAAAAAAAAGACTTTCAATGTGTCACCCCTGGCATGTAAATATCTTTTATCCTGTTTGCAGAGTGTTTTGGAAATCAAGGGAATGGAATGTGAGAAAATCAACACATGATTCAGATCAGGAGATCCCACTTTCCCTGAGAAGGAGGTACTTTAGAAGGAAGAAAACGAGATTATCAAGATACTCAAAATACTCTGAAGACCATGAGAAGCCGCAGTCCTGTGATCAAATGATTACATTTCCCTGTTCCATATGTAAGCATGAAATTGACCTACGTGAAACTTTCCTCCATAAAAAGCAACATATGGCTCTGGCCACCCTGGAGTTTCAATGGATGGGTGAAAAGAAACCAGCACTGCCAGTAATTACCATTCAGAGACAGTTTATAATCACTAAACTATTGTCATCTTCTTTATTCACTGAAAAAATCCTAGAGAGCATTAATTATGCTTTTGAGCTACTTTGGCAGAAACAAATACCAGCATACTATAAGATGATTGATAACGTTCACAGGAGTTCCATATATTCTCAAACAATCTCTCATGTATTGATTAAAGGTGTAGCCATTTGTGAAGATGGAAATTCTGCATGGAAAGCTGACATGAACGATAAATTCACTGTGGTGGATAATTTTGGCAAAAAACCTGATGTGTGTTTTTTTGGTTTATTTGATGGACATCATGGTGCCTCAGCGGCAAACCTGACATCAGTGGAACTCCCAGTTTTATTTCTCCATCAGCTTTCCAGATTTGATCCTTCCTACCATATGACTTCTGAAGAGCAAAATGTAATCAAATCCTTTCTCACAGTATTTAGGGAAGAATACATAGCCAAAGAAGAACTTTTTTCCTCCATAAAGAAAAGGAGAAAAACAGGGAAATGTGAGTATGAGAACATACACAAAGCCTTTGCAAAAGCATTTTGGAGAATGGACAGGCTTTTACGTCTTGGAAGAAATGAAGTGTCCAGGGTTCGATGGAGTGGCTGTTCTGCAGTTACTTGTATATTGGAAGGCAATATTAAAACACCCTATACTAAGAAGAATTGGAGAATCAGTAATGATGATGGCTTGCCAAAGAATTCCCCTTCCCAGGTGATGCCACAAATAATTTCTGGAGTACTTCATGTTGCAAACACAGGTATGTACATTGAGTGGTGCTCATTACACCTTACATTTATTTTTTATTCCTTGCACCAAAATTTCTCTTGCTTCCAGAACTATTGAGTGACCTATGATTTAGTGACTTAGTAATGCCTCAAAATTCCATTGACTAATTTAAGAAATGATCAACAACCACAGTTTAAATGCAGATTGCAGACCACAAAAATAATTGTAATTTTTTTTTAACAAGGAGGAACATATAATTTGACCAAAACATTATTTTCTAAATGGGGTAGCAGTTCAGCTGTGGAGAAAGGCAAAGCATTTATTGCTTAGATCTAATGAAACAAAAAACATTTCCCATACTTCCCTTTTTCAGGAAAATGGAAAGTTCTTTGAGGATTGTTAGAAGTCTGGTTGTTTAAACTGGTTATTCTAATAACACATTTTCAATAGATCACTTGGGCTCACAGGCCAAGTAGCATCCATTTACTTTTAGAGAAAATAGTTTGTGCCTCAAGTTTATAAGCATATATTCTATTCTCCAAAAATATAGCTGTATTTTTATTATTTTTTAAAAGATATTTATTTATTTATTCACGAGAGACACAGAGAGGCAGAGACATCAGGCAGAGGGAGAAGCAGGCTCCATGCAGGGAGCCCAACATGGGACTCGATCCCGGGTCTCCACCTGGGCTGAAGGCGGCGCTAAACCACTGAGCCACTGGGACTGCCCTATAGCTGTATTTTTAAAATTGTATTTCAAGAAGCAATTCTTTCAGTTAGTGCAAAAGTTCTAGCCTAGGAGCTTGACAAAATGGAAAGCCCATATGTAAAACATTCTTAGCAAAGTTAAGCTGAGTTTCATGGGATGCTTAATTGGGTTTCCACTATCCCTTTCATGAATAGTTATTATTAAGTAAAGTCTACCCCTAATGTGGGGCTCAAACTCACAATCCTGAGATCAAGAATTGCATGGTCTACTGACTGAACCAGTAGGGTGCTCCTGTGTAGAGTTATTAATAATAGTGTCCACTTATTTAATATTAAAATCTTAAAAAGTATAACATGTTCATGATACATTTATATATTGTAATATGATTGCCATTCAGGTGATAACTAGCACCTCTATCATGTTACATAATTATCATTTCTTTTTTTTTTAAGATTGTATTTATTTATTCACGAGAGACACAGGCAGAGGGAGAAGCAGGCTCCATGCAGGGAGCCCAAGGTGGGACTCTATTCACCACCTGAGCTGAAGGCAGATGCTCAACCGCTGAGCCACCCAGGTGTCCTCATCATTTCTTTTTTAGTGGTTTAAACAATTAAATTCTAGTCTTGGCAAGCTTGATGATTATAATACAGTATTGTTCTCTATATTCTCTATATTGTGCATTAGATCTCTAGGACTTACTACTTGCTCCAAGTTTGGCTCCTTACACATTTGTTCTATTCCCTCACCCCTATATCTAAGTGTCGTTACCCCACTTTTCCCGATGAGAAAATGGAAGCTGGGAGAGGTGAGATAATTTGTTCAAGGTCTCAGAGATAATAGGAATTGGAGCTGGAACTCAAGCCCACTATATCATGCTGCATCTGAAGGGAATTGCTTCCAAAACCTGAGGAGGCTGGCCCTCAGCAAGTGGGACCATGTATTTGAGAAAACCAGATAATCACAAAGACCACTATAACGTCAGGGTCCCTTGAAGTCAGCGTGTTTCTGATCTAGCTCTGGTTCTGAGCTCAAGATGAGTACTCCAGATTAAGCAATATAAAGAAGCCAAGTGCAATGCCACTTTCCTCAGAATTTTTGTAATTCTTTTTGTAATGAGGTTCCAGATGGCTAGAGCAGGTCTACTTCATGCACAGGTTTCAGATTTCATACCACTCTGGGAACCAACCCATATTCTTGGACGTGGGACCTCCATTAGAAAATGTCATTACACATCAGGGTTCCTGTAGAACTAAAGGAAAAATTATGAGACAGTGAATAACTAGATGCTATCATTAAATGTCTAATTTACGTGATTCACTACTTCCAGGATCACTGCTGTTTGGCTGGTTCTAATCTCCAGGTCAAACATTTGTTGGATCTAATTTCCACGCTTACATAATTCTGTTAAATTGTTTTCATTTAGGCATACTTCATTTTAATAAAAACAAATATGTAGGGAAAAGTTCCAACTTGTGAAAAGGAGATCATGATTGATGATACTAGAGTGCTCCTGAAAAAAAGCTATTTAAATGGGTTACAAAGAGTAAATTTTTTGCAGAAATTTTTCAAGAGCACATGTTGTATTTTATAAAGCAAGACCTATATTTTTCCTGTATTTCCTGTACAAATTTATTTAAATCTGTGAAATACCAGTGTCATCACAACTTGGGAATTAAACAAAACAAAAACCTCACTTTATAATGAAACATGAGTGCAATAATGAAGCCATTGAATAAATGTTGAATTTGTGCATGTGGAAAAAAATACTTCCAAAGTGACATTCTTGATTTTTTATTCTTAGTGCTTCCCATTTATATTGCATTTTATAATTTCTCTTGGTGCTCTCCTGTTTTACTTCAATTGATCCTCATAGAATTAAAACATTAACAAATGTATTCATACAGAATATGTAATTATACTTTTTCCCTAGCATCAAATAAACCACAAATTTTACATTTCTAATCAACCACACTAGTTCTTCATAGATATAAGGGATTCTTATTTGATCCCTTTGTGTTTTCCCCATTGCTTTTATTTTTAATAGCTTTATTGAGATATAATTCAAAAGCACACAATTCACTCACATAAAGTGTACATGGTTTTTAGTACATTCACAGATATGTGCAAGCATCACCAGTCAATTCTAGAACATTTTTGTCCTCTTAAAAAGAAACCCAGTACCCTTTGGCAATCAGGTCGCTAACCTGCCATTTCTTCAGGTCTAAGCAATCCCTAATCTACATTTTGTCTCTATACATTTCCCTATTCTGGGCACTTCCTATAAATGTACTTGTGTTCTTTTGTGCCTGTCTTCTTTCACTTCATATGTTTTTGAAGGTTCATCCATATTTTAACATGCATTAATACTTCTTTCCTTTTGATTGCTGAATATTTCACTGTATAGTTATGCCACATGTTGTTTTTCCATTTATTCAGTTGAAAAACATTTGTTTCTAGTTTTTGGCTATTATGAATAATGCAGGCATGGACATGGTGCATAAGTTTTTGTGTGGACATGTTTCACTACCTTGGGTATATACCCAGGAGTGGAATTGCTGGATCATAAGGTAATTCTATACTTAACCATTTGAAGCACTGCCCCATTTTCCAAAATGGCTTCACCATTTCACTATCCTGCCAGTAATATATGAGGGTTTTAATTTTTACACATTTTCCCAATGCTGTCTTTCTGACTTTAGCCACCTTCATAGCCACTATGAAGTGGTATTGACTTGCACTTTTCTGTTGACTCATGATGTTGAATACCTCCTTAAGTGCTTATTAGTCATTTGAATATCTTCCTTTGAGAAATGTCTACTCAAATCTTTTGTCCATTAAGTTACTTGTCTATTGAGTTGCAAATTTCTTTTTATATTCTGAATACAAGTCCCTTATAAGATGATTAGGAAACATTTTAATTCCATGGGTTTTTTTTTTCTCTTTCTTGTTATCTTTTGAAGCAAAAAATACTTTAATTTTAATGAAATCCAATTTAGCAACTGTTGTTTTGATTCTTGCACTTTTGGTATCAATTGAGGAGACCATTGCCTAATCCAAGGGCACAAAAACTTACACCAGTGTTTTGCTCTAAGAGATTTAGTTTTCTCTCTTACATTCAGGTCTATGATCCATTTTGAATTAATTTTGTACGTGTCATGGGGTAGGGGCCCAACTTCATTCTTTTTTATGTGGATACACAATTGTATATTATCATCTCTTTTACTACCTTCTTTTGAATTGATTTTATTCCTATCTATCTCATTTGTTAGGTTGTTAGCTATAACTGTTATGTTATTTTTTTTGTTATATTATTTTAGAAGTTTATAGTATACATCTTTAACTTCTCAGCTTATCTTCAAATGATATACCATATTGTATACAGAATAAAATCCTTACAACAGCACTTTTATTTCTTCTCTCCCAGACTTTATACTATTTGGTTCATATGTATATATGTGGTATTTATATATATGTGTATATATATGTTTATTATACAAGACTTTTTAAAACTTGTCTCCTTATATATAGTCATATCTAGGAGACATCGTGGGTTTGGTTCCAGACCACCACAATAAAGCAAATATTGTGATAAAGCAAGTCAAATGAATTTTTTTTGTTTCCCAGTGCTTGTTAAGTTATGATCACACTATAGTTTACTAAGTATAGAATACATTGTCTAAAAAGCCAATGTGGATACCTTAATGAAAAATATTTTACTGCTAAAAAATGCTAATCATCATCTGAGGTCTCAATAGTGAGTTGTTACCTTTTTGCTGGTGGAGGGTTCTTGCCTTGACATTGATGGCTGCTGGCCCATCAGGGTGACAACTGCTGAGGTTTGGGGTAGCGATAGTCTTTCTTAAAATAAGACAACAAAGTTTGCTACATCGTTTGGTTTTTCTTTCATGAATGATTTCTCTGTAGCATGTGATGATCATATTTTACTCACAGTAGGACTTCTTTCATAATTGGGAGTAAATCCTCTCAAACCCTGACACTGCTTTATCAACTGAGTTTATATGATAATCTAAATCCTTTGTCGTCATTTCAATGATCTTGACAGCATCTGCACCAAGACTAGATTCCATCTCAAGAGACCACTTTCTTTGCTCATCCATAAGAAGCAACTTGTCACCCATTAGTTTTATCATGATTGCAGCCATTCAATCATAGCTTGTCTCCACTAGTTCTCTTGAATTTCCACATTTGCAGTTACTTCCTACAGTCTTGAACCCCTCCATGAAGGTTGGAATCAACGTCCAAACTCATGTTAATGTTGTTATTTTGACCTCTGCCCATGAATCATGAATGTTCTTAAT